TTGCACAATTTAAACAACTGTGTACTTAGTTGTGTGATAGCCTTCTCCCATAGGTGAGCTCAGCTGAAGGCACAGCTGGTCTTGTCTGTCTTGTGCTTTGCTATCTCCCCAGCAACAAAAACAGAGGTTGACATGTGAAAGGCACAGTAAATATTTGTTGAATGAATTATTAATAATAACCAAACAACTTAAATAACTGCCTGATAAGAATGTAAGAAGTAATTAACATACAAATCCCTTTAATAACCATACTTGCTCTACATTTTCATTTTTCAGGCAGGCTGATCTCAACTAAGGAACTGAGGATGTCCTTGAACTTCAGATTACAAGTGTACCCAAACACGCTGAGTTGATGCAGGGCTGGGGATGGGACGGAGCTTCTAGTGTGCTACACCCCTGGTCCCATGCTTGCTTTTCTAGAGAGAGAAGGGGAATCAGAATTAGCTAAGGTTTTCCAACTGTGTGAGCTCGCTCGACAAATGCAATGTTGGTAAAGAGAAACCAAGTCTCTTCCTGTTAGAAAAAGGTATAGACGGAGCTGGAAAGATGGCTCAGAGGTTAAGAGCACTGGCTGCTCTTCCAGAGGACCTGAGTTCAATTCCCAGCAACCACATGGTGGCTCACAGCCATTTGTAATGAGATGTGATGCCCTCTTCTGGCATGTAGGCATACATGCTGTACACATAAGTAAATAAATCTTAAAAAAAAGAAAAAGAAAAAGGTATAGACAATAATAGCAATAATAATAATAACAAACATATAAATACTTAACTTTAGGTAGTAAGGAACTATGTTAAGTATTAAGTAACGCTTATTAAAAGAATACAAATTGTGTAGAAAGGTTTAAAAAAAGGCAAGGGTTAAGTCATATAAGATGGACAGGGACTTCTTCCCTAGGACATTGTTGGACAACCCTATAAAAAAGACCAAATGAGATTATATTTCTCTTTTAAATTGTCAATTAGATGCTGATATCTGGTGGTGACGCCTGGGTTTCACTCAAGTTTGGTTCACATTGTCCCCAACTGGACACACAGCTGGTTCCTGGGCAGAGGCATCAGCACACTGTCCCTCACTGGACACACAGCTGGGACCTGGGCAGAGGCATCAGCACACTGCCCCCTCCACTGGACACACAGCTGGGACCTGGGCAGAGACATCAGCACACTGCCCCCTCCACTGGACACACAGCTGGGACCTGGACAGAGACATCAGCACACTGCCCCCTCCACTGGACACACAGCTGGTTCCTGGACAGAGACATCAGCACACTGCCCCCTCCACTGGACACACAGCTGGGACCTGGACAGAGACATCAGCACACTGCCCCCTCCACTGGACACACAGCTGGTTCCTGGACAGAGGCATCAGCACACTGTCCTCTCCACTGGACACACAGCTGGGACCTGGACAGAGACATCAGCACACTGCCCCCTCCACTGGACACACAGCTGGGACCTGGGCAGAGGCATCAGCACACTGTCCTCTCCACTGGACACACAGCTGAGACCTGGGCAGAGGCATCAGCACACTGTCCTCTCCACTGGACACACAGCTGGAACCTGGGCAGAGGCATCAGCACACTGTCCTCTCCACTGGACACACAGCTGGGACCTGGGCAGAGGCATCAGTTGCTGCTAAGGCACTGCCTAGGACAGTTACTTGAACTGACCTCTCCTACCAAGTTTCCTGTTGTTGGCTCCTTACATCTAACAAGCATCTGACTTCACAGTTAAACTTTGATCTGTAAACACAGCTCACACTGATCAAGACACAGAGGAAATCATTTCCCTGACGTCGCCCTTCTACAGGGTTTTCGTACGAAGGTTCTGGTACTAGTCCAGCCAGCTGCACACTTATGCTTCACCTTATTAAACAGGACTTACGGTAGTCATCATGTCAAAGGATTTTCCTCATTAGCTTTGTCTCTTAATGTTCCCCACAAGGTTCGCTCAGGGGACCCGATGGTCGACCTCTGAACTTACACTGGCTAAGCAAAGCGTCTCAAGCTCTCAAGCCATCGACCTTGCCTGTCCCTGTGACAAAGCTGCGGGAGTGCTTTGGACGGTTTCTTGCCTATCCTTCTCCTCTCATAAGGGCAAAACTGCCCCGACCGCTTCCTAACGCCAGGAGGAGTTACAGCACAACTACCAGCCTCGTTCCGTGTGACACAGAGGCGACCTGGCCCACACGGCACACTCCAAGGACGTGTGCTGTCCTCACAGGGCTCCCTTGTGTCCTGAATCTCTGCCATCAGTTAGGTTTGGTGACGGCCCCCTAAATCAACCCTCCTCCGAGGCACTCACCCCCATCACTACTTTTGTAGCTCAAAACATCTAGTCTGTGCCCTAAAACTCCTAACAGCCTTTAGGGGGACCTCTGAGAAGGGGGAGGAGGAAGGAGGAGTTAGAATCACTGATGGGCAGAGACAGGAAAGGAGCCAAGACTAGGTAAAGGATGGCGAAGTTCCAGGATGGCTGGTTTCTTCCTCCTCCTCCTCACCTAAGACAAAAGCCTGGTAGCTTAAAAAAGTCCTTATTGCCCTGTTCTTCTACCAACAGGGCCCCTGCTGAGGAACTGGCTACTCTACACTACACAAGTTCCAGGCCAGACCAGATCATGTTACACAATAATTGGGGGCCAATCAGTCAGCCTGTCTTTCTTCAAACTGAACAAGCCTAAATTAGGGGAGGAATGCTGTGGAATAATGCTTTTGTACACTGGTCTAATAAAACACTGATTGGCCAGTAGCCACGCAGGAAGTATAAGTGGAATAAGCAGACAAGGAGAATTCTGGGAAGAGAAAGGCTGAGTCAGGAGACACCAGCCCACAATCCAGGGAGCAGCATGTTATGGCACACAGGTAAAGTCACAGAAAACATGGTGATATATGGACTAACAAAAATGGGCTGAATTTAAGTGTAAGAGCTAGTCAATGATAGGCCTGAGCTAATGGCCAAGCAGTTTTAATTAATATAAGTCTCTGTGTGTTTATTTGGGTCCAAGCGGCTGCAGGACTGGTGGGTGAGAGAGATTTTTTCCTGACCATGGGCCAGGTGGGACACAGGAAAACTTCAGATACAGAGGAAGACCCTTCAGAGACATTAAAAATGTTGCCCAGCCCTAAGAGAGAGGCCCTTCTGCTTTGCTATATGTCCCTGGGTGCCTGCCATAGGTGTGTGTTCCCTCACCCCCAAAAGAAGCCTTTTTTCAATCGCTGGGAGAAAGAAAAAGAAGTTGGATCACAGCACATTGAACACAGGCTGCAAACCTGAGCCATTTTGTATAGACTTATTTCAGGAGTCATAAAACTCTGCCCTTGACACTGTTACAGATGCCGACTTTCTGAAGTAAATGGATGTCATTTATCCCTGCTATAAGCGAGAGACCCAAACTGTCACAGAACAGACTGTGTGGAGAAATTAGAGCAGACATACCAATTCCTTTTCCAAATATTTTCTCTATTTTTTGCATCTGCATTTTCTGGTCTTAGATAAAACACTTCACAAACCTCAGCCTGGAAGCCTTTATCAGAAAAATAGAAAAAAACTGTTTGTTCAAGCACATACACATACACCCCTAAATCCATCCACTGAAAACATTCTTTTGCTGCTCAGACAGATATTTTTGGCTTTTTTTTTTTCTCTTCAGCAAGTGACCAAGCTGATGCAATCGTTTTTTACTGGAAAAAAAAAAAACCCACAAAGAATGAAAAATGGCATGGGAAATAATCTTTTTCTTTGCAGGGTTAGAGGTAGAAGGTGGGTTCTTCTGAAGGCAAAGCAAGGACTACAACCCTAGCCTCTGGGTTTCACTCGCTTTTTGTTTTTGAGACAAGCTCTCACAATACAGCTCACACTGTCCGTGAACTCTCAGTCCTCCTGTTCCCTCCTTGAAAATGCTGGGGTTACAGGAGTGCACCACCGTCCCCGGCTGGGATTACAGGAGTGCACCACCGTCCCCGGCTGGGATTACAGGAGTGCACCACCGTCCCCGGCTGGGATTACAGGAGTGCACCACCGTCCCCGGCTGGGATTACAGGAGAGCACCACCGTCCCCTGCTGGGATGATAGAGTGCACCACCGTCCCCGGCTGGGATTACAGGAGTGCACCACCATCCCCGGCTGGGATTATAGAAAGTGCACCACCGTCCCCGGCCAGAGAAGAACATTAAAAGATCTATGAATGGAAGGGAACTAGACTACAACAAAACCTGAAGGTGCTGGGCCAGTGGACGGCTTGGTGGGTGTGGTGTTTGAATGAGAATGGCCCCCACAGGCTCATATATGTAAAGGCCTGGGCCAGTTCTTAGAACTGTCTGGTAGTCAGGAGATTTCAAAAGCCCACAGCAGGCCCACTCTCTCTTTCTGCCTCCAACTTGAGACTCGGATATAAGCTCTTAGCTGCAGCTCCAGCGCCATACCTCCTCATCTGCTGCCATGCTTCCCACCATGCTGGTCATGGACTCAACCTCTGAAACCGTAAGCAAGCCTCTAATCAAATGCCTCCTTTTGTAAACTTCCTTGTCTCTTTGCAGCAATAGAAAAATAGCGAAGCTGGTGAGTAAAGGCACTTGCTGCCAAGTCTGAATTCAATCCTCTGAACTCACATGATGGAAGGAGAGAATAACTCCTGCAATTTGTCCTCTGACCTCTACATGCACACACACACACACACACACACACACACACACACTAAATAAATGTAATTTTAAAAAAGCAAGTATAGGCCGGGCGGTGGTGGCGCACACCTTTAATCCCAGCACTCGGGAGGTAGAGCCAGGCAGATCTCTGTGAGTTCGAGGCCAGCCTGGGCTACCAAGTGAGTTCCAGGAAAGGCGCAAAGCTACACAGAGAAACCCTGTCTCGAAAAACCAAAAAAAAAAAAAAAGCAAGTATATAGTGCAGGAGTTGCTCCAGTGAAGCCATTTTTAAAATAAGCAAAGCATTCAGATGAAGCAGGGAAACGCTGCCCTTTCATGAACAGATGGGAGCAATTACCTAGTTTACACAAGGTATCGCTGAGGCTGATGCTCAGCTGCTTCCTGACAAGCTTGCAGGTGGCCACAGTGTCTGAATTCTCCTTGATTTTTATTACTTGTTTATAATATTCAGTTACTTGCTTCTTTTGCGATCTAGAAAACAGAAATTCAATTAAAGTTTTGCATTGAAGAAATATGGCATACATTCATTCAACAAACATTCTCTAAATGCTGGCCTTAGGATCGGGGCGCAAAGGAGAGTAAGTGAATGTCAGACTCTCACAGTTAGAGGGTGGAAAATGAAGCCAGATCCACGGATGTAACAGTGTGCACCTTTTTTTTTTTTTTTTTTTAATAACAGAGTCTCAGGCATCAAAACTCCATATATAGCCAAGGATGACCTTGAACACCTGCCTCCTGTCCTGGGCTCTGGGACTGTAGGCATGTACCATTCCACAGAGTGGAGATTTGCTGGGGAGTGAACCAAAGCCTTAGTACATGTTAGGCAGGCATTCTCCCAACTTAGACTCATCCTCAGCCCCTGTTGTTGTTGTATTATACTATTGTTATTGTATTTATTATTATTATTATTATTATTATTATTATTATTATTATTATTATTGCAGTGCTGGGTATCAAAGCCAGGGCCTCTGTGGTAGCTTGATGAGCATGGCCCCATAGGTTTATATGTCTGAATACTTGGTCCCCAGTTGGTGGAACTGTTTGAGAAGGATTAGGAGGTGTGGCCTTGCTGGAGGAGGTGTGTCACTGAGGGCAGCTTTGAGGTTTCAAAATGCTGGAACCATTCTCCTACTCTCGGACTGAGATGTGAGCTGTCAACTGTTCCTGCTTCCGTGCCACTGTGGACTCCACCCTCTGGAACTCTAAGCCCAACTAAAGACTTTCTTCTACACGTTGCCTTGGCCATGCTGTTCTGTCACAGCTCATCCTCAACCCCTTGAACATGAGCTATACCCCCAGCCCAGGGCTTTGGGCTGTAACGTTGAAAAACCTTCAAGAAGATGGTAGGCTCACACTGACTGCGCCTGGGTGGACGCTGGAGGCTGCACTGAAGCGGCCACAGGGGCCAGTCAGACCAGAGCCAAGCCCTCTGATATGTGCTTACCGCTTCCCTCACCAAACAGCAATACGGTAGGTAAGCTCCTGTCCAACCGCACAGTCACTCAGCAATAGAAAGGAAGCCGGAGTCCAGCAGTGAGACACAGCCCACACCTCCCCTCGAGTTCCTCCCTCCTTGGTCAGAAAGGACACCGTGGGCTGATTTAAACTCAGGGACTACAGGTTACTGTTAGGCCTCAGAGAAACCCAGCTCAGACGGCTAAGGTGCCTATTAACATATCAAAGCCGACTCTAGCCGCCAGCTTCTCCCAACATCTCCCAGCATTGCAGAGTCCTGGCTCCTCCACTTCTCACCCCGCCCCTACCCTACACCCTACACCTCCCCAGCCCCTGAGTGTCCCTTCCCTTGCCCAGCTCCTCTCCCCTGCGTAGCCTCGGCCTTTTGGACTACGTGCTCTCCTGGCCTCTATCTTGGTCTGCCATTTTTGGCTCCTGGTCCCCTCTCCTGCCCTCTCTCCTCTCTTCTTCCTCTCGCGACACCCCTCCACCACCACCCCCTGCACCCTGGCCTGATTCAGTCAGCCGGCCATGTTCAGGAAAGACCTTTCCAGATGCCTCTGGCTGTTCTCTCCCTCATATCTACAATAAAACCTCCTCAACCATACCTAGGAGCGGCCATGTCCTCATTGTCAGTTATCAGTAGGCACTCATCTACTGATGGAGAGGAGGGAATGGTCTTAGAGAAAGTGGAAGACTGGAGTGGAAAAAGGACACCAGAACACAGGAGGAGAGGAGGAGAGGGGAACTCCGAACCCAAGACACAGTAACTTCACAACTGAACGAGCATCCCCGGATGTTCAGTGAGCTGACTCCCCTATGAAAGAGCAATGCTGAGCCCAGGAAGTCTGCCATTGGCTCTCAGGCTTCACAAAGAAACTCCTTCCACACTAGCCTGCAGCGGGAAAAACAGTCAGATCTGGCCACGCTCACAGCAGGGTCCTGTGATCTCTACTACCCTCTTCTGCACCTGGATATGTGAGGAGCTGAGGACAGAGCCACATCTCAAAGGCTGCTCGAGGCAGGGGGACAGCAGGTGAGTACGACCTAAGGCATGGCTGACTTTGGCCTTGATCACACAGCCCCACAGAACAGCAGCCAGGGCCTGGGCCTGTACAGAAGCCCTTAGCAAAGCATGCCCACTCACAGGTCCTGTCAGGAACACTGGGGAGCACTCGCAGTGAGCGCACTGGCCCCCTGTGTCCTTACCTGCTGCCAAAGCTACCACTCTGTGGGCCCAGAGTTTTCAGAATGCCTTGCAGCAGGTCCCCTGACAAACTCGGCAGGAATGAGCCCTCAGGAGGGGCACATCCCCACTAGAGACAAAGAAGCAAGACGCCCCTGATAGGTCAGTGCACACCCCAGACACCAGAGAAATGGGAGAGGGACCCATTTCTTGAAAAAATCCATAGAAACTTACTTTTCATTATCTTCTAGTAAAAAAAATAGCAAATCCGCTAAAAATTCCATAATTTCTCCAACTAGTATGTTTTTATCACCAAATAGACGTCTTCTGATATGTAAACACTCTTGAAACTTCAGTCTTGCAACAGGCACATTTCCAGCAGCCAACCTGAGAACGAAACACAAGCCTGTGGCTTACCAGGATGGAGAATGCTTACAGTAAATGGTCCACATTCACTGGGCTAGCAACAATTCTCAACAATTTTATGAAAATCCTTTCTCTTATATAGACATCTATCCAGAAAGATATGTGTAAATTGGGGAATCAAGAACCTCAAAAACACTCAGAAGTATGTGTCTGTGTGTGTACGAGCACACATGTACACGTGCATGAGCACACTCACCGCCTTCAGGAGCGGGCAGTGCTAGGGATTCAACCCCAAACCTTATAACATGCTAGTACTTGCTCTAGCACTGAGCTACATCTGCCTGTCCTCAGAAGTACCTTTATAAAGAAACCAGAATAGCCAGGCATAGTGGTACATGACTATAATCCCAGCATTTGAGAGGCTAAGACAGGAGGTATAGGCAGGACTTCCAGGGACAGAGAGGAGTCTGGGAAGAGAAAGGACACCAGGAGATGCAGAGTAAGCAGGATGTACAGGAGGAGAGGTAACAGCCACAAGCCAAGTGGCAGAATGCAGATTAATATAAATGGGTTAAGTTATAAGAACTAGTTAGGGGGCTGGAGAGATGGCTCAGAGGTTAAGAGCACTGGCAGCTCTTCCAGAGGTCCTGAGTTCAATTCCCAGCAACCACATGGTGGCTCACAACCATCTGTAATGAGATCTGGTGCCCTCTTCTGGGATGTAGGAATATATGCAAACAGAACATTGTATACATAATAAACAAATAAATCTTAAAAAAAAAAAAGAACTAGTTAGAAACAGGCCTAAGCTATAGGTCAAGTTTTCATAATTAATAAGAAGTCTCCATGTCAATATTTGGGAGCTGGTGGTACAGAGAAAGACTTGTTACACTATACATTTCTTTGGGGAGGGTAATTTCATGTAGATCTGCCCTTCACATTGTCAGCTGCATTCCTGGCCTCCACCTCTAGATGGCAATAAAAATCTTCCTGCCAGTGATGTTAACCAGAAAGCGGTACAGATCTTGGCAAAAAGTGCCTTGAGAAGAGCCCCAGACCAGCCATGGCTGAGGCCTGCTATGCTGGAAAATAAACATGCCAATGCTCAGTGTTCATCCAAATTTAGATTTAGATGATAGATGTGGTAGCAGGTACTGATCAAATATAAATATAAATATGTATTGTTGAGACAGGGTCTCATGTTAGCTTAAATTAGCTTTGAACTTCCTATGAAGCTGAGGACAACCTTGAATTCCTCATCCTCCTGTCTCTGCCTCCCAAGTGCAGGGATTACAGGCATGCATCATTGTGCCCAACTTAACGCTGTTCTGGGAAATGAACCTGGGACTTCATGTACACAAGGCAAGCACTCTACCAATTGAGCTGCATCCTCAGACCCTAAGCATATTAATAAAAAGAACAGGAGCTAACACAGAAAGCAAGAAGAACAAAGAAAAATGTCATGCTTACATGAGAACACCTTCAGTATATTTCATGGTAGCTTGATCGCGGGGGCTATCAGTCACTAACTTGGAGATTTCAGTAGCATAATCCAAAATGTGGCTTTCTCTTAAGAATTTCTCAGATGCTGATTTTACCAGGTTATTCATCACTTTGACTACAGGGCATAAATGTTGGCAAAGAATATAATGCTTAAGGTTTTGTTTATCCACAGAAGAGTCAAAATGTCAACAGGCCTAGCATTTAATACCATTTCTTCATCATGCCAAGAACCAGGGTTCTTCCGGACAAATCAGTCACTGACCTACACATACTAGGGTTTGTTTCCATACAAAGTGTCTGTACGCATGCAGCAGTCAAAGGACCAAGGGACAAAGACAATAGTGTGAACCTGAAGAGTAGATCTGTTTTAGGGTGATACAGGTGCACATGAGCGTGGAGGTACAAGACAGACTGAGAGAGACAGAGACAGAGACAGACAGAGAGACAGAGACAGACAGAGAGAAGAGACAGAGAGAGAGAGAGAGAGAGAACATGAGAAGTCAGAGGATGCCTTTAAGTTTCATTCCTCAGGTACCATACACACTTTTTTGTTTGTTTTTTGTGACAGGGTCTCAGTGGCCTGGAACTCACTAACAGGTGAGGCTGGCTGGCCAGAGAGCCTTGGGGATTCAGCCATCTCTGCTTCTTCAGCACTGGGGTCACAAGCATGTGCCACCATGTCCACCTTTTTATACGGGTTCTGCCTTGGCCTCCTGAGTGCTGGGATTAGAGAGACGCGCCTTCACGGTTGGCAGTGGGTAGTTTTCTTTAGCATCACCCGGCCCTCCCCCTCCCTGGGGTTGCTCTCTGAACTGCAAGGAGTGGTGTGGCCTCCGTAGGTGTCGCCTACCTTTCTGCCTCATTAATTCCTGGCTGGTTTTCAAGTCACTGAGCGTAAACCGCAGCAGATTTGACCACGCTTTCTGAAAATATGTGAGTCCTTTTTCAGTCATCCCGATTTCAAGATACAATTCTCCAATGGCATTCTGAGCTTTGAGGAGCATTTCTGTCATGGATGGGCTCTATACACAACGACAAAGGGAACCACTCCTGAAAACAGAGATTGCTGACAGTGACAGCTACAGCACCCACCCATCACTTCCCAGGGAGATTTAAATATTTATCAGATGAACTGCTATGATGAAATCTTTAGTAGCAGACATGTAAAAATAAGACTCCATTTTGGACGTTTTCACCGATTATTAGTTAATGGTAACACGCCAATGCCTAATGTGTGTCAAGTATTCCGGGAAAAGGTGATCCAGGTGATTCCAGCATAAGTGGCTGGGAATGCTGCTTGAATTCAGTGGGACCAGAGAGTTCATTGCTTCATATCTGACACCTTTATAATGTAAATTCTGCTTACTACCTGTAAGGAAGAAGATGTCATGGCCCATTATAGATTGAGATATGCTCAGAACTCATCAGAGTCACAGTTAAGCAGGAAGCCTGGCTAGGCCCCTCTCCCCCATCTTGTCTCAGAATTCTAAGGCTTGGAAAGTTACAGGTGTCCCTCACTACGTGACTAAGCCCATGGGATAAGGAGGCAAGCTCCAAATGATTCATTAGATAAGGCTGTGTGCCCTAAACCAAGGAGATGAACTGAGAAAGGGAGCAAGCCCAGAGGACAATATGCCATATATGTCCAGGTACCCGTGGAGGCCAGAAAAGGGTGTCAGATACCCTGGAGCTAGAGTTACAGGTGGCTGTGAGCCACAAGACATGGGTGCTGGGAACCAAACCCCAGTCCCCTGAAAGAGCAGCAAGCACTCTTAACCACTAAGCCATTTCTCCAGCCCCTCCATTTAAAAGGTAATTTTATTGTCAGGCATAGCAGCACATGCCTCTATTCTCAGCACTTGGGAGGCAGAGACAGGCGGATCTCTGCAAATTCAAGGCTGGTCTGGTCTACAGAGTGAGTTCCAGGATAGCCAGGACTACAGAGAGAGACCTTGTCTCAAAAAACAACAACCCCAAAAAAACTGTATTACATTTGTTTGTGTCTGCGTCTGTGTGTGTGTGTGTGTGTGTGTGTGTGTGTGTGTGTGTGTGTGTGTGTATGCATGCATGCGTGCACACCATGATGTACATGGGTGGTCAGAAGACAGCTTGCATTGAAGGAGACAGCTCTCTGTTGTGAAAGATTAGTTATAGATGTGTTACATTTGTTTGTGCTATGGAATATTTGTTTAATGAAGCAGAGATGTGTTGCATTTTTCATGTTGCATTTGTTTAACTCGGTTACTTTGCCTGTCTAAAACACCTGATTGGTCTACTAAAGGGCTAAATAGCCAATAACAAGGCAGGAGACAGGATAGGCAGGGCTGGCAGGCAGAGAGAATAAACAGGAGGAGAAATCTGGGAGGAGAGGACAAGGAGCAAGAAAAGAAGGGGCCAGCCACACAGCCACAGAGCCACACAGCCACAGAGCCACACAGCCACAGAGCCACACAGCCACACAGCCACAGAGCCACAGAGCCACAGAGCCACACAGCCACACAGCCACACAGCCACACAGCCACACAGCCACAGAGCCACAGAGCCACAGAGCCACACAGCCACACAGCCACACAGCCACAGAGCCACACAGCCACAGAGCCACACAGCCACAGAGCCACACAGCCACAGAGCCACACAGCCACAGAGCCAGACACAGAACAAGAAAGAGAGAAAGAGATACAGAAATAGAGAAAGGTAAAAGCCCAGAGTCAAAGGGTAGACAGGATAATTTAAGTTATGAAAAGCTGACTAGAAACAAGCCAAGCTAAGGCCAAGCTTTCATAAGAAAGAATAAGACTCCATGTGTTTATTTGGGAGCTAGGTGGCGGACCCTCAAAGAGCCAAAAGAGTGAAAAAGAGTACAAACAAACAAACCAAAACAAACAAAAAATCCCTGCAGTGTCCCCTTCCATCATGTGAGTCCCAGGAATTGAACTCAAGTCAGTAGGCTTGTCTGCAAGAGCCTTTACCCACTGAGCCCTCTCACCGGCCACAGCCTCTTCTTCCAAATTTCAAATTAACAGTGTTTTCACAGACTGGAGAGATGGCTCAGAGGTTAAGAGCACCGGCAGCTGTTCCAGAGGTCCTGAGTTCAGTTGCCGGCAACCACATGGTGGCTCACAACCATCTGTAATGAGATCTAGTGCCTCCTCTGGCGTGCGGGCATACATGCAGGTAGAACACTGTATACATAATAAGTAAATAATTTTTTTTCAAGACAGGATTTCTCCATGTAGTTTTGGTGCCTGTCCTGGATCTCGCTCTGTAGACCAGACTGGCCTCGAACTCACAGAGATCCGCCTGGCTTTGCCTCCTGAGTGCTGGGATAAAAGGCGTGTGCCACCACAGCCCAGCAATAAGTAAATGAATCTTTAAAAAAAAAAAAAAACCCACTCATTTCCTCTCTCATGCCTACCCTGAATGAAGACAAGCCTAAGCTCCTTCCACAGGACCTGCCTCTAGCCTCAGGCTGCACATCTGTCCCACACCACAGCCTCCTCAGAGCCTGCTGCACAACCTGTCCCTCTACCAGGTTCATTTCCTGCCCCACACAAACACATCTAACCTGGATCAAACTTGACCTGAGCCTCCTACTCTCCTGACTTTTTATCTTTCTCCTTTTACCGAGAAGCTTCTCAAACAGGCTCCCATGTGTGCATCTTCCCCACTTCATTCTTAAAACTCACCTCTTGACTTCCTGCATGCCAGTCCCTCATGCACCCTTGCCTTCTCAGGGTTATCACAGACAGACACCACTTACCAGACCAGGGGCCTGTTGTCCCTTTACGGGTGACATTACATTCAGAAGTAAACTTTTCATTACATTCAGTAAAGCCAAAGGTTCATGGTTCAGAAAAAAAAAAAAATCAAGAAATAATCAGTCAGACTTCTCCCAGGTCTTCATGAAAGTGGCAAACAAGTTTTAGGCGACTGTAATTCCATTCCGTCCCACAGAGACACCTATCTGCAGCTGTCATTCTCTAGTGACTCCTGTTTATTGGAGCTTGGTGGTGGTGGTGTACAGCTGAGGTGTGGGTTATAGTCTCCTCTCTGGTGGACAAGCCCTCTGACTCTCCCCTTCTTGGATAGTAAGTCATAAAGTCATGAAGGAACAAAGGTCAATGGTGTCGACAAAGACACCAAGGGGGAAAAGCTTGAAGGATTTCATTCCTTACCTGTAGTAACATTTCCTCGACACTCAAGAATAGCCTTTCTGCATCATTGATCTTGCCCATGAGCTTCAGGAAACTCCCAACAAAGAGTATCATCCTGCATTTATCAGCGGCAGTAACCTGGGAGAGGCTGCATTCCAGGACTGGAACAGGAAGAAAGCAGACAGGCCTGAAGGACACTGGGAAGGAACAGACTGCCTGGCCTGCTCCTGCTTCAAGACTCCACAGCTGTATTTCTCACTTCTTTTGTTCGGGGTGATTGGTTGTTTTCTTTGTTTTTGTTTGTGACAAGTTCTTTTGGATTTTTGGAGATAACGCCTCACTCTGTAGCCCAGGTTAGCCTTGAAATCACAATCCCCTACCTTTGCCTCCAAAGTGCTGGGACTGTAGACACATACCATCATAGCTGGCTTCAACTTCTTGTTCAAGACACCAGCAGATTTTATTACAAATATTGGCAAATACTTTAAATGACACCATAAAAGTCTATAGTGATATTGTACAACCTTGTATAAATGTTAAAATCTAAAGAGCTAAACAATTACACAGCTCTGTGGTAGTGTGAATGTAACTGGCCCCATGAGCTCATTGGGAGGGGAACCATTAGGAGGTGTGGCTTCATTGAAGTAGGTGTGGCCTTGTTGGAGGAAGTGTCTTTGTGGGGGCAGGCTTTGAGGTTTCATGCTCAAGATACTACGCAGTGTGTAAGTCCACTTCCTGTTGCCTTCTGATCAAGACGTAGCCAGCACCATGTCTGCCTGCACGCTGCCATGCTCCCCGCCATGATGGTAATGGACTGAACCTCTGAAACTGTAAGCCGCCATCACAATTAGATGTTTTCCTTATAAGAGTTGTTGTGGTCATGGTGTCTCTTCACAGCAATAGACACCCCAACTAAGACAAGTTCAATCCATGTATAATTTGTGTTTTGGAATGATTTTTTTCAGGAAAAAAAGAAAAAAAAGTTAATGTTTCTTTCTTTTTTTTTGTTTTTGTTTTGTTTTTGTTTTTGTTTTGTTTTTTTTTTTTTTTTTTTGGTTTTTCGAGACAGGGTTTCTCTGTGTAGCTTTGTGCCTTTCCTGGAACTCGCTTTGGAGACCAGGCTGGCCTCGAACTCACAGAGATCCGCCTGCCTCTGCCTCCCCAGTGCTGGGATTAAAGGTATGTGCCACTACCGCCCATCTTTTAAGTTAATATTTCTTACACAATTCTTCCCTCTGTTACAACTATCAAGAATTGCTAGATTAAACAGAAAGAAAAATGTTAGAAATGTCAGCCAGGCCTGGAGAACACAGGCAGACTTGTAAACCCTACCACTACCACTCAGAAGGCTGAGTTGGGAAGGTCACAAGTTCAAGGTCAGTGGGGACACTGGGGGAGTTCAAGGACAACCTGGGCAACTTCATGAGACCTTGTCTCAAAATAAAAAAGGTTAGGCATGTGGGCTGGCTGAAGACACCCACAGACTCGCCTGGGTCCTCACGGCCTGGGTTGGCTGAAGACACCCACAGGCCTTGTGGTGCCTGGCAGGTAGGCACTGTTATGATGAGCAAATATATGGTGGTGAAATGGGAGAGAAAGAGAAATGGACAGGTTCATGTGCTGTGGAAAGAGGCAGAACTGAAGAAGCAGAGGAGGTGAGGAGCAGGCTCCTGTGGGTGGCCTACTTGCCATGGTCATGTCCGGGACCATACTGATCTGGGTGACCCGCATTACCACTGGGGCCAGGGTGACGTCCAGGCCCAGCTGCTGCCTAGGGCCATGTCTGGGTCAGTGGCCCTACAGCAGCCAGGGTCTGAGTTGATGTCTGTGGTTCCTGTTACCCCAGGGGGTCATGGGAACCAGCACCACCTTTGTTGGCCTGGGAGAGCTGACCCTGCCTCTCACTGGCCACTACAGCAGAAGAGCTGGCCCTGCCCCTCAAAGGAGAGCTGGCTCCACTTTCCGGAGAGATGGCCCCACCCCTCACCTTGAGCATAGGAAGGCTGGCCCTGATGACCTGAGCGTAGAAGAGCTGATTCTGCCCCTTGCCAGAGGGGGCAGTCCCAGCTGCCTGGATTGACCAAATCAGCTACCATTTGGACCCACATCCAGGCTTTGAGTTGGCTCACCCCAGCATCGACCCCATCTGTGACCTGCCAGAGTGTGTGGAGGGACTGGTCCTGTGGAACTGTAGCCGCAGAATCTCCATGACCCAGGGCAACAGCAGGATATCCTGGGGGAGTTTCGGAGAGAGTTCAGTGTTGATGGTGTACCAGGAGCCAGAGGTCCTGAACCAGACAGACCACTCCCTGCAATGAGCATCTGGAAGTAAAGCTGAGTGGACAAAGGGACCTACTGTGTGACACACCACAGCTCCCAATGCCACTAACATGAGTGCAGAGGTGTTGGAGAGGCCGGAAAGATGGAGAAGCAAAGTGGATTTTTGTTTGTTTTGTTTTTAATGAATGTTTTTTAATTTGCTTTTCTGGGGGACACTACAGGGGTGAGGGGTGGATATGGAGAGACTGGGAAATCAGCAGGATTGGGGTGCATGATGTGAAATTCCCAAAGAATCAATAAAAATTATGTTTTTAAAAAAAAGGTTGAGCATGTAGCATAGCAATAGAACATTTGCCTCGCACATGCAGACGTACTACAGAAAGGCAAAGCAACAAAAATGAACAAACTAGGGGATACACACTTGTGTTTGTATGTCGTTACATACAAGTAAAAGTATATAAAACCTCTGACCCACGGTGTGACAACATTGGCACTGGTCTGCCTCTATCATATGCCTCAGGGCAGTGGTTCTCAGCCTTCCTAATGCTGCGACCCTTTAATGTAGTTCTTCATGTCCTGGTGACCCCCAACCGTAAAATCATTTCGTTGCCACTTTGTAACTGTAATTTTGCTACTGTTATGAATCATAATGTAAATATCTGATATGCAGGAGATCTGATGTGACCCCAAGGGGTTGCGACCCACAGGTTGAGAACTGCTGTTCTAGGATTTAAACTTCCACGTGGTTGTTTACTTCAGAGGACTGGCTCTAATGCAGTTGTCACAAATGACTGCTTATTCCTCATTGGTTGTTTCCTTGTGTTGGGGCCAGTGTTCCCTGCATGCTTCTGGCTTTCACAGTCATGCGCAGGGTAAAACATGTACTGAGGACCTACTGTGTGTCAGGCAGGGTTCTAGGGTCTGAGAAAGCAGACTGCATCCCCCAAGACTGCAGAGTAGCTGGGAGCTAATGTACTTCCAGGTCAGAGGGCAAAAGCACAAACGTATTCATGGAGACAGATGCAGAGGGCTAAAGTCAACGCTGTTTGTCCAGAGTCGTCAGCAAAGCAAAGGGACTTGAGGTTAGAAGAAGAACCAGAGTCAAAACAGGAAATGGGGATGCCTCAGAGCCACAACAGCTGTTTACAACAGGCAACAGGTGAGGAGGAACAGCGGCAGGATGTGGGGATTTTACATTCCAAGGAGATGAGAAGGTCCAGATGCCTGTCAAGGGTTCAGATTTGAATGGCTAATGTTGTGAACAAGAATTCCTAAAAAGAAGCTGTGTCTGGCTGTGAATGAAAAGCTCATGGAAGGCGTCCATGCCCGCAGAGACTGATGGACCAGTTGGAATTTTAGTACCGTGGAGAGATTGGAATTTTGCAGGTTCAGGGCTAATTACTTTATCTAGGGCTAGTGTTAGCCTTCTGGGACAGCCACTCTGTGCCTGAACTAACACCCTGTGATGACAAATAAAACCTCTGAGAAGCTATTAACTTAGCAGAACACTAGCTTCTACCAATCCAAGAGCTAAGAACTTCATCCAATAGCATCTTGGGTCTACAGACCAGCTCCTCCATCTCATTGTACCCACCTCTCTGATGTATTCACCAATGTATTTTTAAACTTCCCTTGATTTATTACTTTCTTTGTTCTGTAAAAACTATAAAACCTTCATGAAACTGCTTCTGTATTGGAACATGGAATTTGGGGTAACCTAAATCTGTGTTCTCAGGCCATGGTCACTCAAGATGGGTCCAGAGTAAACTCTGATTCCTTTGAATGAGAGCTGTGGTTTTTATGTTGACAGAGATCACTCAGGAAAGCTGTTGATTGGGAAAAACCCTAATACTGGGGGTGAGGCTGTAGCGGGGGGATAGAGCGCTTGCCTGGTATGCTCAGGGCTCTGGTTGACTCCCCAGTACTAAAGAAACGAGAACAAATAAATTCTAGCAATATCATGAAAAGCAGATGGACTCTGGCCCTCCAAAAGGAAGTGAGGGTTGAAGATGGAGCTAGGCAAGGCCTTAGGGGTGGGCCTTGAGGAAGTCTAGAGAGAAAAGAATGCTAAGACGAAACTATAGAAAACAGCCACAGAGAGAAGAGAAAGAGAAGCCATTTCAACATTAGCCCCTTATCCCGACTCGCTGTTTGCGGAAATTCTTGTCTTAAACTGTGAGGAGTAAGCAGAGAGGCCGATAGACTGGGACTCGTGGGAGGAAACAGAAGAGCATTGACTCTGGGATATTTTCTATCCCAGAAAAAGAGATTCAGCAGCACTGTGGCCGGTGTACCTGAGGACGTGGTCAGCAGCACCGTGGCCGGTGTACCTGAGGACGTGGTCAGCAGCACCGTGGCTGGTGAACCTGAGGACGTGGTCAGTGGCACTGTGGCTGGTGTACCTGAGGACGTGGTCAGCGGCACTGTGGCTGGTGTACCTGAGGACGGGGTCAGCAGCCCTGTGGCTGGTGTACCTGAGGACGTGGTCAGCAGCCCTGTGGCTGGTGTACCTGAGGGCGTGGTCAGCGGCACTGTGGCTGGTGTACCTGAGGGCGTGGTCAGCAGCACTGTGGCTGGTGTACCTGAGGACGTGGTCAGCGTCACCGTGGCTGGTGTACCTGAGGACGTGGTCAGCTGCACCGTGGCTGGTGTACCTGAGGGCGTGGTCAGCGGCACTGTGGCTGGTGTACCTGAGGACGTGGTCAGGAGCACCGTGGCTGGTGTACCTGAGGACGTGGTCAGCTGCACCGTGGCTGGTGTACCTGAGGGCGTGGTCAGCGGCACTGTGGCTGGTGTACCTGAGGACGTGGTCAGCAGCACTGTGGCTGGTGTACCTGAGGGCGTGGTCAGCAGCCCTGTTACTAGCGTACCTGAGATTGTGGGTCGCTTCTTTACTTTCTGGCACTGTTCTGCTTCTATCTTGGCAACGCAGAGCAGAAACGACTCAGATACGTCATAGCCAGCCTCCAGCAGCACATCCCAGTAGTGGACAAGGTGCAGCCTGGTCCACAAACTCGGGTTGTGGATTTTTGATATGAAATCTGTGATGCTATGAGACACATAATCATTTCAGTACTCAGGCCTTGGAGGAAGCTATTCTTTTCTTCCCATGTTTCACTAGCCTTACCCTCTCCACCCCTCAAAGCAGGAGCTCATATGTTCCAGACCAAGGAGGACCTTCAACTTCTGATCTTCCTGCCTCAATCTCCCAAGTGCTGGGATTACATATATGTGCCACCATGCCCAGTTTAAGCAACCAAACTCAGGGCCTTGTGTATGATGAAGAGTCCTGGCTAGGTGAACATTCTACCAACTGAGCTATACCCCATGACACACAAACACCACTGTCTCTGTCTGTCTGTCTGTCTCTGTGTGTGTATGTGTGTGTGTGTGTGTGTGTGTGTGTGTGTGTGTGTGTGTGTGTGTGTCCGTCCCACAGAGTTTAATTAGGGTTGCCCGCATAAGCACAGGAGGTGCATGGGCACCTCATCAATGACTACACCACTGGAAAATGACACCCCTCCCCCAACAGCCATTGATTGCCAAGAGCCTCACGGAGGGGAAAAGACCTTATGGCTCGCTGCCCCGTCCATGATGGAATGTTGAGGGCCCAATCTTGTGCAGATAGCCACAGGTGCAGTGAGTGGGTAAGTACAATGACGACATCATGCCCAGATGTGTTCTGGCCACCCATGTCCCCATCCTTGGCTCTTTCTTTCCTACAACTCCCAGAACCTCGTAGGAGGGCCAGTCCCATACACTTCTTGAAGCTTTGGTTGTTACCAAAGAAATATGAGCCTTTTCCTCTTCCACAGCCAGAGCCGGTTCTCTGGGCAGGATCCTCGGCGCTACTCCCAGACAAGGGGGCCCCTCCAGCTCTTATGCCTGCTGCTTCACATGAAGTATGGGCCACATCCACCCCTCCCCCATACACGGAAAGTGAGAACTTAGGGCTGTGTCCTCGTCAAGGGCTACGGCAGTGCCACAGGCCAGAGGCAGGTGAGACCTCGATAAACTGGCTGAGTTAATGCGTGAGGGCGAAGGAAGGAAGCAGGGAAAGACAGAGAAAGGACAGCAGGAGAAGGATGGAGCAAGAAAAGCAAGGACACAGGACACACGTCCAGCCAGCCACCAGCACGGCCCATCTGTCCTCGTCCCTACGCAACGCCTGGAGGAATGCACACGGAGTGGGAAGAGGAGCATGCTGTAGTGACACAGAGCTCAAACAGCATCCTTGGGGATCCACCCACCATGCAAGGGGACTCCACAGTAAGGTCCACACGTGAATGAATGAACGTTTTGCCCAGAGAGTCCATGTTGCTAATGTGACATCGACATTCCCTGTGCAGCTGGCAGGACTCGCCTAGGGCTCGACTCACCTAGGGCTCGTGACGAAGCTGCACAGGCCTTCCCAACACCTGCTCATCTTCATGTGCCACGGCAGCTCCTGATACACTCTCCAGAAAATGCTTTGCCGCTGGAAGTACCTCATCAAGACCTGGTGGAAACGTGCCTTCTTGTGATTCACGGTGTGCTGAGACATGTTTGGACTGCTCTCTCTGACTGGAGTGATTACACCTATTTCAAGACCAATTACAGCCTCACAGTTCCGACTTTTTTAGCGTGTGAAAGTACTATCACAAAAATATGACAACTCCAGTGCCATGATTAAGGAAGGACAAGTCAAAGTATCTCGGAGAGTGGCTGGACAGGGCTGGGGAAATGGCCCAGTAGGGAAGTTCTTGCTGAACAAACATGAGGCCTGGAGTTTGGATCTGTAGAACTCACATAAACAGCAGGCAGAGGTGATGGCTCACCTGCAATCACAGCGCTAAGGAGGAAGGGGAGGGGATTCCTGGGGCAGCCTAGTTGGTCCGCTAGCTAAGCTAGCCAGATCCATGAGCTATGGGTTTAAGTGAGAGACCCTGCCTTAATATATAATGTGAAAAGAAGTTAAGGACATCTCATATCAACCTGTGGTCTCTGCATACATGCACACACATACATACACACACACACACACCTGCACACACACATGCATGCACACCTGCATACACACACACACACACACACACACTTACTCATGCACACACCCCCATGCAGCCACGCAGCCACAAATGCACATATATATGACCCCCGAAAAAGTATCTTATGCAACATTCTGATTTTCTCCAGAAAGCATATAGAGTTATGATTAGGGGTAAATATATGGATTTCTCATGCTGAGTTTCCCTCCCTGACTTCCACAAGGAAACACTTTCAACTACTTTTCTCTTTTCGTTTGTTTGTTTGTTTCACAGTGTAGAAGGGACAGAAGGGTAGTTAGAGATATTTAAGATATTATTCATTTATTTGTATTTTATGTGTGCAGATGTTTCCCCTGCATGTAGGCTTGTATACCACACGCGTGCAGTGCATGTGGGTCAGAAAAGGGCACCAGACCCCTGGAACTGGAGGTACAACAGCTGTTAACTGCCATGTGTCTGCTGGGAGTCAAAGCCGAGGTCCTCTGGAAGAGCAACCACAGCTCTTAATTCCTAAGCCACCTTTCCAGTCCACTTCTCTACTTTCAGTGCACACTGTGGCTGCCGCCTAAATAAGCACTCTCTAGCATGTGAGGGGGAGTGCTCTGGAGACCCGATCCCTCTTCCTGGATCTCTTAAGGGTCCTATGGTCACTGAGCACACAACTGGAAATGTGGTGCTAAAGCCAGGAGTTTGTGTCTTCCTCCCCAAAGGGAAACGGTCCTGACAGACTGTGACACTCAGAAACAAACCTCTCAACAGCTCAGAGTTTTGCTTAATCAGAGCCTGGGGATGTCTATTCCTTTTGTTCGTTTGTTTGTTTTTGGTTTTGGTTTTTCGAGGCAGGGTTTCTCTGTGTAGCTTTGGTGCCTGTCCTGGATCTCGCTCCATAGACCAGGCTGACCTCAAACTCACAGACATCCGCCTGGCTCTGCCTCCCGAGTGCTGGGATTAAAGGTGTGCGCCACTGCCAGTATTAAACACAAAGGCTACAATTACCAACATTTTGGGCCAGAGTGTAGCTCACTGTAGAGTATGTGCTTAGCACACACGGGCCCTGGATTCAATGTCCAGCACACGTGAAAAAGGAGGAGGTTAGAGGATGTTGTAGATAACACCACATTTCATTTCATCTTTTTACAAATTAGTCTCATGAGGAAGATAAGGCTATGAATCTTCATATGACAAAGAAAGCTACTTAAAAAAGAGAGCTCATACGGGATGTGAGGAAAGGTCTGACCTGTGCTTACACACTGCAGCACAGTTCTCACTGACAGACTAGCCTGAACACTCCTGAGCTAGGGTGACTCATGGTAGGTTAGAACACACTACCCTGACAACTGCTAATCTCAGTGGCTTGAGAGAACAAGTTCATTATGTCTGTCTTCAGGTTGGGGCCCTAAAACTCTAGTCCAGGTTGGGAGATGCCAGAGGAGCATCATCTTGAATGTTGCATGGCCACTCAGTCAAACAGACCCAACCCACAAAGGTACTAGAGAACTGTCATTCAAATGGCTGCCATGGAGATGACCTGGGTAACATGGGATGCTGTATTTACACAGACTCCCATTACTCTCAAGGTAAATATCATCAATAGCCTTATTTTGAAAGTGAGAAACAGTTCAAAGGAGTTAAGCACGTTGCATAAGATCCTATCAGTTCTGTAAGATACTGAAGTCATCACCCATAATTTTTAAAAAGTCATTTTGAGGAGGAGCTAGGATAGACTCAGTCTGCTCCCTGAGGGAATAGCCCCTGGAGTGCTCAGCCATTGAAGTCAGGTCTCCTTTAATTTATGGGACGCTGTCCTGCATATTGACGCTAGAGGAATCCCACACAGGTTTCCTCTTGAATGTGGCTCTCTCCCTCCCTTTAGCCCCAAAGCATTTTCGCAAACTCAACTGCTCACCCAGCAGCTTGTGCTCCACCGCATTCCGTAGGGACTGGTGTCGGAAGCAGAGGAGGCCATCGGGCTTCTCCTGGATCCAGTGCTTGGTGGCGTTGCGGAAGGCCGCCCAGTGCACGGTGGTCACTTTCTGGTTGTTCCTGTAGCCCAGCATGTCCAAGAGGTGGAGCAGCTCGTCTTCAGCCAGCCCACAGTGTGAGATGCACAGCAAGCACAGTGCGTCCGCTACCCAGCCACTCAGCCCTGCGCAGCCACAAGAGCGGGGACGGAAGCACGAGAGCATGAGTCAGTGAGAGTGGGCTCCGCTATGCCAGTAACCAGCTTCTCTCCCTCAACCGAGGTCAGCACTGTAATGGCCCCAGACTTAGACAGGAGTGAGTGGGTGACCAAAGGCACCCAGGAGTAAGTGCTGACATGGGATCTCAGCCCAGTCTACCTTCAGAACCCGTGGTGTTACCCGCCATTTGCAAAGTCACAGCCAACACTAGTATGAGTCTGGTCACTCTGCTGAGCATGCTGCCCAGTGGTGCTGGTTCCAAAGCTGGTGCTTGTCCTGTAGAAGTGTTTCCTTCACAACCACGAGCACCACTGAAGGGCCCCTTCAGCTTCTGTCCTATCGCTGGCTTTCTGATCCGCCAGCTAGAGCGAGATCAGATCACAGAGAAACAACGCGCTATGATCCACTGTGACCTTTCATGGACTGAAGGGGCCCGTACCACCTGCAGTCTCCAGGTGAAGGCAGATCTGAAGCCTAGCTGATGAAGCTTCCCTTGAACTTGACAGAACTCAGCCAAGCTCTTCCTAGATCTGTGGCGGAGCTCCCTGGACCAGACAGGATTGCTGGCCAGAGCTGGGCCAGTCCCTAGGGGAAGAAGCCCTGGGCTTTACTGCACAGTCCTAGAGAGGGAGTTGCAGGGGATGGGTCAGATGGCCTGTGTGACTCTTCTAGGGAGCCCCACTTCTACCTCTGTGGAGGTGGGGCTCAGTACAGTAAACTTGAAACCCATTTTCTTGATAGAAATGCAAAGTGTAGCACAGAAAATTGGGTGGGACTACGTAGCACAGCAGTAATCAATGCATCCTGTGCTCCTCATCCACCTCTCCAATTCTGTTCCAGTCTAGGTCCCATGGCCTGAAGAGAAGACTGATGCAGCAGAAACAGAATGGGGAAAGCATGTTTCAAACCGGACTTCACCGGCCTACAGCACAGACAGTGACTTGAGAGAGCAAAAGCTTTCAAAAGCCTGATTGTTGAATATCATACACAAATTCTAGAAGAAGTTGTTCACCGCCAACAAGAGACTCAGAGGATGAGCTAACAATGCTATTTGTTTTTTCCCCACCTAGGAAGAAAAGAGCGGTTGCAGAACTGAGAAAGATCTAGGAGAGAGTTGATGAGGAAATCAGGATTCAAGAAGCCAGGGGAGCTAGGTGTGGTGGCACACACTTTTAGTCCCAGGACTTGGGAGGCAAAAGCAGATGGAGCTCCGGGAATTGAAGTCCAGCCTGGTCTACATAGCAAGTTCTAGGCCAGCCAGAACTACATATGGAGAGCCTGTCTCAAAAACAAAACAAAAGCCGGGTCAAGGTTCTCCTTGGCGAGGATGAGGGATCGCACCAGCAGGGGGCAGCAGAGACTCGACAGCCAAGAAAAGATGGCAAACGCTGCTTCTAACAGGAGCCACCAAAGGGGGGGGGGGGGCACTCTGAGGACTGCAGTTCATCTGGGATCAGCTACCACACCGGAAGACTGTGCAGGAGCAGGTGATAGCCAAAGACACCCCGTACCAAGGCTTCATCCAAGAGAAACACAGAAAGTATCCGAATCCTTGCCAGACTTAAGAGGCCCCATTGGCTGGAAACATGGAGAATGTACCTAAATTCACTGGATAGGCTTGTGCCAAAAGTAGGACCGTGAGATCAAAGCAGAGGCTTATACTGAGTGATAGAAATAATAAAAGTACACTTTTCAGAGCCCTGAAAAATTTCAAATTTGTGCCTAATACAGTTCTCTTTATAGTCAACATACATCTCTCTAGACAAAGTCACCAAAAAAGATGAGATGCCCAGTTAAATATGAATTTCAGATAAACTAATTTTTAGTACAAATACACCCCCATGCAATATTTGGGACATATTTATTCTGAGAATTACTTGTTGTTTTTCTAGAATCCAAATAGTGATTAAGTGCATCTTATGCAATATCAGAGACATATTTCTATCAAAAGATTTATTTTTTATTTATATGTGTCTGCATGAGTTTATGTGCACCATGGGAATGCAGGTGCCTGCAGAGGCCAGAAGGCATCAGGTCTCCAGGAAATGGAGTTAGAGGTAACTGTGAGTCATCTGAAGTGGGTGCTGGGAACCAAACTCAGGTCCTCTGTAAGAGCAAGAAGCACTCTGGACTGCTGAGGCACTTCTCCAGCCCCTAGAATACTATTCTTCTCTTTTTATATCCCTCCCCTACAATATTATTTGTTGTTGATCTGAAATTCAAATCTAATGAAGTCCTGTGTTTCCTCCGACAGTTCCCTCCCCAGACCCTTCTCCTGAGCAAGCCTACACCACAGACCTTTTGTTCCCGTGGACTCCCACCAAGATGTCAACACTGCCCAAACCTTTTCCTGAAGCCACGGCATCTGAGTTTGTCTCTTTTTGCTTCAAATTCCAACCATAATCTTCAACCCAGCGCTTCAGAATCAGCTCCCAGAGCTCCTGGACAGAGGCCATCTCTAAGTACTCCCTCAGACACTGGAACTCGTTACGGTAGATTCTGCACTCCTGCAGCTCGCTGGCGATGATCGCCAGCTTCAGAGGGGTCAGGTTGGGCTTTTTCCTCAAAATGGGTTTGCTCTGCCCAAAGCGCTCTTGGTCAGGAGTGGAAAGGTGCTGTCTGAAGATGCTGAACTTCGTGTCTTCATCCCCCATGCCTGACAGCTCCAGAGTCCTCACATCCGGGCGGGCGCACAGTGACTTGCAGGACAGGCTGGAGGAGACGGTGCTCAGAATGAATTTACAATGTGGAGGGAGTGAACACGGCAGCCACGAGAAGTCTTTCGCCTGGTGGAGACATTTGAAAATCTCAAAGACCTTAAAATGACTTTGCGGATGGTGTTCAGACTTAGAGTAGGTGGAATATTGGGTGTGAGTATAGGGTAAGGGTGGGTGATGGCCACTAACAGTAACTTGGATAAGGAGCCATTTGGTAGGAAGAAATACAAATGTGCACAGAATGAAACCTGTTGACTGATGCATATCTGATGAATCTAATAGTGCAAATCTGGACTCTTTTTTATTTTTAATTTTTTTTTATTTTTTATTTTTTGGTTTTTCGAGACAGGGTTTCTCTGTATAGCTTTGTGCCTTTCCTGGAACTCACTCTGTAGACCAGGCTGGCCTCGAACTCACAGAGATCCGCCTGCCTCTTCCTCCTGAGTGCTGGGATTAAAGGTGAGCGCCACCACTGCCCAGCTGTGCAAATCTGGACTCTTAAAAACAGATTCCTGGGCTGGAGAGATGGCTCAGTGGTTAAGAGCACTGGCTGCTCTTCCAGAGGTCCTGAGTTCAATTTCCAGCAACTACAAGGTGGTTCACAACCATCTATAGTGGGATCTGATACCTTCTTCTGGCATAAAGTCATACACACAGATAGAGTATCATATACATAAAATAAATAAACAAATCTTTTTTAAAAAAGAAAACAGATTCCTACAAACAATTTAATAAAATCTCATACTTCTGAGGACTAATCTACAGTGATAATCAGAGGAAATCTAATAAAAGGCAAATTGAACCACTTAATAAAATAAGACCTTGTGTTATGATAAAGAGTTGTTACTTTCTGCAGTAAAACTATCTTGAGTTGAACACCTAATATGATCTTTTCTTGATTATTGTTAAAAATTTTAATTACCTTTTCATTTCTTTATTTTTGTGTGCACAGGTGTGTGCACATGTGTGTGTGTGTGTGTGTGTGTGTGTGTGTGTGTGTGTGTGTGTGCAGGCGGGTGCTAGGGTGCGTGTGCAGAGGTCAGAGGACAACTTTTGGGAATCAGTTCTCTCCTACGATGCAGATCCTAGGTACTGAACTGAGGCTGTCAGCCATGGCAGCAGGCATCTTTACCACTGAGCCATCTCACTGACTCCCTGTGTCTGAATTCTGATCCCACCACTTAGTTATCTTTGGACCTTAGACAACACCTAGCATCTCTTTGTCCTCTGTCCAACCAAGGATGATGAGTAGTCTCTTTATGAACATCTGTGTACATTCTAGACCTTCGATTCTGAGACAAAAAGAATATGTTGATACATTTAAAGCTGGTACCCAGACCATGGTAAATGCCATGTAAATAGTTGTCTAATAAAACACAAAAAAACAAATAAAATCAATGATGGGCATACCTAGAAACACAACACAATAGAAATGTATTATATACACCTAAATAATGGGGTCTTCCTTTTTTCATAAAATAAGTGTTATTTTTAAAAGATGTTACCTTCTGACCTGAAATCCCATAAATGCCAATCAACTCTTCAATCCCATCTAATACAAGTACACATGGCTTTAGGCTGATGAAGGCCATGAACACTTCTACAAGAAGCGAAAAGACCAAGACACTTGAATCTTCATTAAGAAAATCCATTTCAATCTGGGGACCTACAATACAGAAATTTCAAATTAGGTGAAGATGTTCCAATCACTGCTAAGATGTGCTGATGGGCTGGGGTGGGGGTGGGAAAGAAGTGCTACTCACAGTTGTGCAGCTGACACACGCATGCACATGCTTGGCTGGCTTCCTCGAGACATTCAGGCCCAAAGAGCTAATGGTATTTGTCACCAGATGTCTCCAACAGTTTCAGGATTTCATATAAAAATACTATGTACAGTGTTTGCACATGTTTCTTGTGTGTGTGCGTGTGTGTGTGTGTGTGTGTGTGTGTGTGTGTGTGTGTGTGTGTGTGTGTGTAGGCCAGGGTAAATGTCTGGTGTCCCTCTCGATCACTCTCCACCTTAGTTTTTGAGGCAGGGTCTCTCTCTGAAACTGGAGCTGACCAATGAGCTCTGGGGACCCTCCTACCCCCACCTCCCCAGGAATCTGAAGGCTACGGCAGTTGATGCAAAAGCATCACAATGAAGAAAGCTCCAAGTAAAAGACAGTCTAATGGACATAACTATTTGTTCTTAAAATGATGTGCTGTGGGATTCTCTGTATGCTGTGAATGTGTTGCTCTGATTGGTTGATAAATAAAAAGCTGATTGGCCAGTAGCCAAGCAGGAAGTACAGGCGGGATAAACAGACAAGGAGAATTCTGGGAACAGTAAGACTGAGTAAGGAGACGCCAGCCCACCATCCAGGTAGCAGCATGTAATGGCACACAGGTAAAGGCACGGAAAATGTGGCAACATATAGATGAACAGAAATGGGCTGAGTTTAAGTGTAAGAGCTAGTCAGTGATAGGCCTGAACTAATGGCCGAGGAGTTTTAATTAATATAAGCTCTGAGTGATTATTTTATAAGCGGCTGCGGAGTCCGTGGGGCTGGGCAAGACCAGAGAAAACTTCAGCTACAATGATGTTAAAGATAAGGATAGTATCGATAATACTGGAAAAAGATCCTAAACATTTCCCTTTGTTTGGAAAGAGCCAATCTGCCTCTATTGAAGTTCTGATTTAAATGTTAATATCTCAAATGTTTAAAATCCCACTTAGTGACTTACTAATAGACAAACTTGGTTGCTCTGTGTATGTGTACATGCTCACATGTGTCCTTGTGTATGTGGAGGTCATCATTCAGCACAAATTTGCCAGGAATCTTGTATGCCTGTGCCAGGCACTAGGTATATCAATGACCAGGAAAATAGACATAACCTCTGAACTCCGAGGGCTTGCAGAGGGAGACAAACACTAAATACTGGGACAGACATTCAACACTGGGACCTTTGTAAGTCATCTGGGGAGCCAAGGAGGAGGAGCTCACGTCCACAGGCAGCAGCACCACATGGGGCTGGGGCTACACTGACTGTCAGTCAGGGAGAGCTGCCCATGAGCCCTCTCACAGAGGGGTGGCCCGTGAACAGAGACTTAAAGAATAAACATTTCGCCACCAGGGAAAATTGAGAGAAGCGAATGAACCTGAAGTGATGGGTCTACTCCGAAGAAACCAGACTTGTGGAGGAAAGGACAAGAAGCCAGGCTAGGAAGTGATCTTGGCCCAGGGCACGAAGCAGGTCACAAAGCTGAGGCTGTTTGCCCACGTAATCCACATCATCAACCCACAGGCAGGTTCTCCCGAGGAGCAGCGCTGGTGAGGACCAAGAAGGAAATCTTCCACAGGCTGAGATTTTCCTTTGCTGCCTCGAGGAGGCTCCGCAGTGCAGTACTGAGAGCTTTAAAGTCAGCAAGAGCGGAGCTTAGACTATTCTACTCTGCCCACGTGCAGCTGGTGACGCTGCCACTCTGAGCCTCAGTCTCCTTGTCAGGATGCTAATGTCGTCGGTTCAGGGCCTGGAACAAGGTGAAACCCCTAACACAATGCCTGGTGCTCAGGGCGTCTTCAATCGGTACAACTTGCCTGCTAGGGCTGCCTCACACGATACCATGGAACATGGTGGAGAGGAACTGCATCAAGAAAAAGCTTGACTCTGCAAAGCATGTCACAGAAGGGACACCAGGCAGGGGAGGGGACAGGATATCAAGGGAGTCTGATAGTGGCAGTTCTCCTCCACCAGAGGCTTTGTCCTGGAAGGCAGAGGCTGGGGCCAGAAAAGCAGAAATAGGTCACACATGGCATTTGGTGTCCCAGAGAGGAAGGGTCGCTGCTCACATCTCACAGAGAAAGGCTTGCAGATGCAGAGGTGGGTCACAGGAAAACGGGTCACAAAGTAGCTGAGTCTGTGGTGTGCACCTGCGTCTGACCCCTGCACCCACATCCACCTCATTCCGGAAACCAGCTGCGCTGTACAGCACAGGCAGCCCTGAAAACGCCCCTCAGCCCCGAACCCAAGAACCCACTCAGGCTGCGGTGGCGATGCCGCAGACGCTCCTATGGCAGCCTCTCTCCTCCTTTACCTAGAAAGGGGGTGGGAGAGTCTTGTTTCCCTTAATAGTGCACCCCGCCGCTTCTTTCTCCGACCCTGGGAGGAACGCTAATCCCATCAACAAATAACAACAGCGGAAAAATAACAGTAGCAGCAGGCTGCCGGGTACCCCTGTCAATCCTTTACAGGCTTCATCTTTCCGTTCTCACACAGCCTTAGAGGGTAGGTTTGTGGGTTTTACAGGTGAGAAACGCGTCAAAGAGCTTCAGTAAACCGCTGGCGATCACCCAGCTAGTGAAGAAGGAAGGCGGAATTGTGGGTCAAGCCCAAAGCCTCCCTTTCTGGGCTTCCACCGTGAACAAGAAGTGTTCTCTGATGGGGACCTGTCTGGTGTTCACAGGCTTTCCTGAATTTGTCCTACCACTACCAGACTAAAAAGCTGCTTGTTTGAAAGGCAGCAGCTGTTTTTATCAGGAGCTTCCTGAACCCCAAGACACACTCATTAAAATAACAACTCACTTTGGGAATAAAATCATAATTGGGTGTGCTCAGCCAAGCTTACATCATCAGCTGCCTAGCCCAAGTGAGCACCTAGGGGATGTGCCAGAATAGGCCTAGGAGCCTACGGAGACAGTCACACCTGCTTCTGCTGATTCTGATTTTACCTGCTTTACAGACCCAGGAAGTGCAACCAAAGAGAACTCACCCTGCATGTTCACAGAAACCCACCAGGCACGCTGACACCTGCCCTGCCCTGCGTGAATTGTATGAACACATCCAAAGTCACTGTGAGGGCACTCAGGACCTCGAAGAACAGATGGATGATAAGAGATGAACTGTCACCAGCAGGCAGAGTCAGACGCATATGAATCCGTACATCCTTGGCAGATGAGGAACAATGGTAAGCACTAATGTTATCAGTGCTTACTGTATGCCAGGGTCACACCACACTGATGGTCTTTGTCTTTTGTGCCTTATCCTAGCCAATCCTCTTATATGCCTAAAAGGTACTTTTCCTTTTATATCCATATTTTATAAATAGAGAAACAAAGCTGGGTATGGCAGGCTTGTGATTGGAACACTTGGGAAGTAGAGTTGGGAGTTCAGGGCCATCCTTGACTACACAACAAATTTGAGATCGCTCTGAACTACATGAGATCTGTCTCAAAAAAAAAATCGAAACAAAATCAACTAGGAACCAAGTGACAGAAATTAAAATAATTTACCCAAGGTCATATGACTAGTAAGTCAGAGACACAGGTTTGAATACAGGTTCTCAGGTTCCCAAGGACATTATGAAGCACAGCACAGCACCCCCCACCCATGACTGCCATCCCTGTGGGCACAACACACCTTGTATCTCAAACACCACACCTCCGAAGCAGAGCCCTGACTTCCTCCGAACCTGCTTCCCTCCCCGCCCCGCTAGCTCTGCCTGATTCAGTGAGCAGCCCTTTTCCTACAGCCTAGAAACGGGAATCACCCTCCGTGTCCCCCTTTCCTTCAACCCACATCCAACCAAACCACCCACAGCCCTTCTCCACCGCTGCCGCCCTCACCCCACACGCTGATCATCTTGCTAGAACCATTTCAACAACCAACAATAAGTGTGTGTCCCCGCCCCCCACCCCCGCATCTGCAAGCTGGCCTCCCTGTGTATCAAGCCATGTCCTGTCCGTCCATGTGTCCCCCTCCCTCCCCGCTTAAATCCCTCCACTGGCCTCTGGCTACACATAACAGGATCCACACCTGTGGCGGCATTTCTGCTGAGCTCCTGGCTTGGCTCCAGAGAGCAGCACCTCGCCCTAATCCTTCCTCTGTTTAACCACACCTTTTGTTTCTCTTATTGCCCTATGTGAATCTTATTTGAGAGTCAAGGATCAGAGAGTCCCCCAGGGATCAAAGGCCTATGCAAAACTTGGTCCAGGAAACCCAGAAAACCGAGGTACCTGATAGTTCAAATAATTTGCACCTGGCATTTGGTCTCTGGGCGCTCCTTTTGGGTTGCTTTGAAGGTATGTAAATTAACTATCTAAACTGTAAAAAAGAGTAAATAAATATGCCCTAGGTGAAGGGAAAAGTGCTTCAGTCCTTCGAGGCTGGACTCCCCTGCAGCCACGATAGGCTAAATTCATTCTTAAGATGCCTCTGTGTCTTCATTCCACGGACCCCCGTGAACCACACACTCGTGTAGCGACCACACAGCTACACACACCTGTTATTCTGCCCTACACAACTCCCTCCCAAATGAAGCAGCCCTGCGGTCCCTGCTTTGTCTGTGAGACCATGCCATCCATTGTTGTCTGGCCGCATTGGCCCGCTGTCCATTTCTAGCTCATCCCACTGTGTTTCCAGCTCTGGAACTACTGCATTGTGTTAGCGTTCCCCTTCGCCTGGAATGTTCTTTCTTCTGATTTCCATATGGTTAGCCTCTGTTGACTGTGCAATGTTCCCAGAGAGTGTAGGCTAGGTTAGAGCAGAAGGTTATCTGTCCGGCTGCACCATACCTTCCAAACCTGCTTGGTATCTTATGTGGCCAACTTCTTACCAAAAGAATGGAGGTGGGGAGAACAGTCCCTGGTTTGCCTTTTCCACACTTCCTCTAGCCCAGCGGCTCTCAACATGTGAGTCCAGACCCCTTTGGGTGGTCGACCCTTTCACAGGGGTCGCACATCAGATCTCCTGCATATCAGATATTTACACTACGATTCGTAACAGTAGCAAAATTACAGTTATGAACTAGCAACGGAAATAATTGTATGGTTGGGGGTCAGCACAACATGAGGCACTGTGTTAGAGGGTCACAGCATTTAGGAGGGTTGAGAACCACTGCGCTAGCCCAAGGCAGAAGAGTCAGACCTTTCAGGCACAGCCTCTGTGTGGGAAAGGTTTCCTCCAGGCACCTTAGGGAAGAATGCTGCTTGCTACTCAGTTAAGAGACACCTAATAGACTATTACCTTCGAAGAACCAGAGAAGTTCTAGGAAGGGAGAAGCAGGGTCTGGGGGTGAGGCCATAGGGATTCACATCCAAACGAGAGAATGCCAGCCTCAAGGACAGGGGCAAGAACTGTTTCTTTCTTTCTCTTTTCTTCCTCTCTTTCTTTTGTTTTGGTTTGTTTTTTGTTTTTCAAGACGAAGTTTCTCTGTGGAACTTGCTTAGTAGATCAGGCTGGCCTCGAACTCACAGAGATCCACTTGCCCCTGCCTCCCGAGTACTGGGATAAAGGGGGTGAACCACCACACCCGGCCCAAGAACTGCTTGTTTCTGATTCAGCTGGTACTTTAAAAAATGTTTATGTTAATTATCCTTTGAGTCATGATTTTATTTTTCATGGAAAAAAAACACATTTTTAATGATTTTTCTTTTTATATTAAAATTCACGCTTATATCAAAACCAATTTTTTTTTCTGGTCTTAAGAACTTTTTGGTTTTAATTTGACAAGTGACCTGAAGTGTTTAAAGCAGTCATATTGGAATTTATAAAAAGTAAAAGTGGAGATTGAAGAGATGGCTCAGTGGTTAAGAGCACTGGCTGCTCTTCTAGAGGACCTGGGTTCAATTCCCAGCACCCACATAGTAGCTCACAACTGTCTGTAACTCCAGTTTCAGGGGATCTGACACCCTCACACAGACATACATGCAGGGAAAACACCAATGCACACAAGATAACAATAAATAAATTATTTTTAAAAAGGTGAAAGTGGAGTGCAGGAAGAACAGCAGAGGGGCTTGCGTCCGCGTCTCGCCCCTAAGGCTGGCTCCATTACCGTGGGCTCTGTGCTGCAGCTCCATGATGAAGTAGTGGATCACCGACATGATGTCGCTGCTTTCACAGGTACTCCCCACGAAATACGGGATCATCAGCACTCCGGGATGTCTGCTTTTGAAATAATTGACCCAGCTGGCAATCAGAGTAGACTTCCCACAGCCGCGTTCTCCAGACAAGAGCAAAATAGACTTATAAGTCGGAAGAGCATTTATTCTGAAAAATAGAAGGGGAAGTGGTAGGCACGAATCTTTACCAAGAAGGAGAAGGAGAGAAGACATTTTCGTGGGTACATTTTCCCTCTAAGAGATACAATGCTCTGGCCTAAGTTAGTAGGCTTTGGCTGGCTTCAGAGAAGCCATTCCTCCTTGGAGCTGCAGCTTCGTAAGACATGAGATTAGGAGAGAAGGGACAGAGTTACTTTGGAAGGTCCCTCTGCCTAGACGGACCCTAGGACTGTCCAACATGAACTTCAAGTATGGTCAAGGGCTCAAGGCCTAGGGAGGAAAAGGTCACCACCCCAGCCCACTGTCCTATCTGTCTGTCCACTCTGCCCACCTCACTGCCACCAGGCTATCCTTGGTGACATAAGCCACATTGGAAGAGAATGAAGAACAGGAGCACCCATACACCAAGAACGCTCATCAATTCCCAAACCGGCAGTATTGGAATTCCAACTAACTTGCCATTGGTTTGGTGGCTGAGAAGCGCCTGCAGCTTCCCCAGCGTGTGTTAACTGGTAACTCCACTTAAACAACTGTCTAGGTTCTGGCAACAGCTTGTTTTGGTGCTTAGTTTTTAGCCAAGTTCTGGATATGCAGAGATACTTCTGGCCTGTGAATACCATGACAGAGACTCTAGCCTTGTGACTTACAGTTATTTTATTTTTTACTTATTTCTTTTTGAGACAGGGTCTTACATTGCTCAGGCTGGCCTCACACTTCCTAAGTAGCCAAGGATGCTCTTGAACTCCTGATTCTCCCCCTCAAACTCTCCAGCGCTGGGATCATGTGACAACCACCCTGGACTTGTGATTATGATGAATTAGTATGTATCAGCTAGGTTTAGAGGTGCTGATTTGTAATCTCTGCTACTTGGGACACTGAGGCAGAAGGATCACAAGTTTAAGGCCATCCTAGGTAATGTCGTGGGACCCTGTTTCGAGAAAAATAAGGAAAAATGCCTGGGGGTGGGTATATAGTTCAGTAGGAGAGTGTTTGCCTATCATACATGAGGCCCCAGGTTCAATCTCTAGCACCAGTCATACAAAATATGTGTGTGCCTGTGCGTGTGTGTTCATGTGTGTGTATGTATGTGTGTAATGATTTTCCACTGAGGATAAATGTCATGAGGAATTATCTTACTGTTGACTAGGACAGCACCTGACAAGTTGTTGAGGGAATAAATGACTGACTGAATGAAATGAAACACATGAGCCAGAATTCAAATTCAGCAATAGAAGAGGATTGGCTAGGGAACTCACTGAAATAAAAACTGTCAAGTAGTCATTAAAAAGTAGTTTGCAATAATTCAATCTTCATTGATATGAATTAGGAATCAATGCTCTATTACTTAAATGCCTTCATCAATAATTTTCTTTCTTTTTCATTTTTATTTGGGCGGGAGGGTAGAGGGTTTCGAGACAGGGTTTCTCTGTGTAGCCTTGGCTGTCCTGGAACTCACTCTGCAGACCAGGCTAGCCTCGAACTCAGAGATCCATCTGCCTCTGCCTCCTGAGTGATGGGATGAAAGGCGTGCACTACCACCGCCAGACTTTCGCTGATAATTTTCAAAAGTGGGATTTAATTTTGAGTCCTCCTCCTACCCCTGCCATCAGCCAGAGTGAGCTTATTGACCTCTGTCATACAGGTGACCTGTGAGACCAGATGGTCATCAGCTCACCTCCACCTTCACCCCCTGCCGCTTTCCCTGCCTCTCACTGCCTGGAATCTTGGCTATTTCTCTAGCCTCAGGGCTTCTGTATTTACAATTGCTTCTGTCTGGAATGTTCTTCCAGGCCATGTTTGCTTAGCTGGCTGCCTCACACATCTCTTAGTTCCCAAACATCACTTGTCACCCAGGGCTTTCCCTCAGCCTATCAGCCGGCCCCTTTCATTTCAGTGTCGCACAGTGCTCCGTTGGCTCTTGAAGACGTGGAGCACACTGCACACTCTTCACACATGCTGTTTAGTCCCTGTGTCCAGGATCAAAAGCCACAGAGGCAGGGGGTTCAGCTCTTTTGTTCCCTGCCGGACCCTGTGAGTCTGAAACTGTATGTGGCACTAAGCAGGTCAAATCAGTGAGCACAAAGACATGTGTGATGCATCCGTGTAAATATAGTCATCACAGTTTTTTTTTCTTCAAAAACAAATAAAAACATTCTTTTTTTTTTTTTTTTTTTTTTTTTTTTGGTTTTTCGAGACAGGGTTTCTCTGTGTAGCTTTGCGCCTTTCCTGGAACTCACTTGGTAGCCCAGGCTGGCCTCGAACTCACAGAGATCTGCCTGGCTCTGCCTCCCGAGTGCTGGGATTAAAGGCGTGCGCCACCACCGCCCGGCACAAATAAAAACATTCTTACAAAAAATTCTTTTGGGGCTGGAGAGATGGCTCAGTGGTTAAGAGCACGGACTGCTCTTCCAGAGGTCCTGAGTTCAATTCCCAGCAACCACATGGTGGCTCACAACCACTTGTAATGAGATCTGGTGCCCTCTTCTGGCCTGCAGGGACACATGCAGGCAGAATACTGTATACATAATAAATAAATAAATCTTTAAAAAAAAAAAATTCTTTTGATAAAAGGTTGATATATGACCTGGAAAGGTGGCACACGCTTATAATTTCACTATGCAGGAGACAGAGATAGGAAGATGGCCAGAAGTTAAAGGGCAGCCTAAACTATATAATGAGTTTGAGGCCAGCCAGGGCTACACAGTGAGATCACATCTGAAAGAGATAGAGAGAATTAAAGAAAAAAAAAAGGTAGTATTAAGGCCATGCTTTGCACCTTAGAACAAAGAACATTCTTCTGTTGACTTACACACAATGTTCAGGAACATACAGTACAGAGCACCGTTCCAGATCATAAAGCAAACAGGGCCCTGAGTGTTTCTATACAGTTCAAAAGACTATCTTATCATTGTGTTTTTACTGGGTCCAATTTAAATTCTTCAATTACAACTAAATTTATTTGAATGATAAACTATTAAAAAATAATAAACAGAATGAGAATCTACAAAGCCCAAACCTCAGTGTTCGAGTACACAGCTGATTTTCATTATATAAGGATCTATGATCATCACTGCTATTTAACTCCAGAACATGTCCAGTATTCAAAAAAAAAAAAAAACCCTCTGTCCCCTTTAATAGTGACCCTCCCCTCCATCCCCACTCTCACCTCTCAGCAGCCACTCCCTAACTCTCTGTCTCTGTGGACTCACCTATCCAAGCCTAACATTTTTAATCATAACCTACACATTCTCCTATAGTCTTAAAAACATTGGCTGGCCGGACAGTGGTGGCACATACCTTTAGTCCCAGCACTTGGGAGGCAGAGGCAGGCGGAGCCAGTGAGTTCCAGGACAGACTCCAAAGCTACACAGAGAAACTCTGTCTCAAAAAACAAAACAAAAAAAAAAAAAAGTGGCTGAATACTCATGCTGTAGTAACCTAGCATGAGCACCCAGAACTACCAGAAAGCTCCCTGGTCACTCTGAGTGGCCTGTGATGGGAGTACTAAGCCTAGGATAGGAACTGCGAAGGCCAGCCTGTACCATCCCAGCTACTGTGGCTTTACTTCAAATCACAAAATTCTTACAAAATAAATGAGATCTGCGGCAAGAGCCAGAAGAGGAGAACGAAAAAACATTCTACAGTCTTCCCCTCTTTAGAAATGAGACTTGAGGGACACTGGAGACAGCTCCCGCTCTCTTACTCTCAACCTCATCTGACCGGTAAATGGGGGTCTGCGATCACCATTGGCGGAAGAGGTATGCGGTCGGCTGTACTGTGCAGGACACCAGATAAACCAGAAGGGCGTCATGCATTGTGTGTAATAACTTGATTCCTTATTAACCCTAACATGATATGGCCCATATTCCAATAAGTGCTTGGGGAATATATTAATATAATTTATAATGATATATGTAGAAGCTCTTTGTAAATGACATAACACTATCCAAACATATTCATTTTCCCTGGTTTCTGTGGCTTATAGTCATCCCACAAGTCTCAGGGATTTGTTAAACAAATTTTGATGTATGAGACTGAAAAAGGATAGGTCCTCGGCCCTTCAGAGGTTTTTCATCTTGACAGTGTGTGAAATACAGAAAAGCTTCAAAAAAGCAGAGGGATCGCTAATACTCTAATTGAAGCATGGCTTCTACAGTCCTTTCCTTTTCTCTCCTTCTTTCTTTCACCTAATTTTTTATTTAAATTCTTGCAATTTTTAAAAATTAAAATATAAATACATAATGTCCCGTCCCTCTCATCCCATGTCCCCCATTCCCTTAAATTCATAACCTCTTTTTCCTTCATTATTATTACGTTTTATATATGTGCATAAATGTATAGGTATAACCCACTGAGTCCGCAGAGTGTTGCTTGTATATTGATTTCAGGGCTGACCACTTGATGTTAGATAACAAATTAGAAGGCTCATCCCCAGGGAAGACTAATTCTCCTTCTCTCAGTGGTACTTAGTCGCTTGTAGTTCTTTGTCTAGGGTTGGGGTCCCCTGAGATTTCCCTCTTCCTCATTAGCATGTCTGTTGGTGTTGTCACAATTCAGGTCTGGTTTAGGCAACCACACTGCTAAGGTATCACGAGTGTAGACTCTCACAGGGTCTTTCTTACAGAAAGCTACAGGAAAAGGGAGGCTAGACACTCCGGATTTGGAGGCTCACATACACCAAAGCCAGGCTGCTTTGTGTTAGCCCCGTAAAATAAATTAGGATTTCCGAACCTCTTACCTGAGAATGGAGTCCAGCCCCAAACCTGCACTGTCAGAGTCAAGTTCAACATCTTTTAAGGCAAATCTTTCCAGTATTTCAAAGGTCCTGTTTGACTCCTTGGAAATAACAAAAACTTGCTCGCACTTCTCAGCAAACTCTTCATGATACAAACACTCAAGACTGTGTTTGTAATCTTAACAGTGAAGAAAAGATAAGGCAAGTGTTAGATGTGTAGTTTCACATCTTCAGTTCTGTGTGACTCTTCTAATGCCCAGGAAGGAATCTACCCTTCTGTGTCTATAGCCCTTTCTCTCTATGGTTGTATCATATTTTATAGCCCACTGTATATAATAGTGAAAGCAAATCATAGACCAGTGGTTCTCAACTTTCCTAATACTGTGAGACCCTTCAATACAGTTCCTCATGTTATGTACCCCAACCATAAAATTATTTTGTTGCCACTTCATAACTGTAATTTCACTACTGTTATGAGTCATAATATAAATATCCAGTATGCAAGGTATCTGATATGCACTCCCCAAAAGGGTCGCGACCCACAAGTTGAGAACCATTGCCACAGACAGACCATTTCACCTCCCTCATGCCATTTGTATACGGAATCCAACTTTCACCACCCGAGAGCAACAAGTCTAAAACAAATTTAGACTTGATACATAAACTGCTAGCTAGTACAAAGGTTCAGTGTTGTGGTACGTGTGTACATGTATGTCCTCCATGGCAGAGGCTGAGGAGCATGGCTTTTTTTTTTTCTGGGTAAAATATTCCAACACGGATGATAACCATAAGCACAGATACAGTTCTACCATGGGGAAGTCCTTTAAATTCTGGTAAATATGGAGGGCCAGACAACTAGATGATCTCTAATGCTCATGCCAGCTCCAATTTCCTTCAATTCCAAACCCACTGCCTGATTAGTGTCAGGATGTTCTGGCCTATCAAACCCCCTCCTGTCTTCGGAGAGACACATATTCCCCAATTTATTCCAGTGGCAGGGGTGGGAGGTGGGGAATGAAGGATAGTATCAATATACAAAATATAATATAGTTGGTCTGGTAGATTCCCAAAAGACACACCTTGCACCTCCAAACTGGGCTTCTCAGCTTCCCTGTTGAGATTTGGGCCAGAACAGACTTAGAAACCCAGTTTGCCCAAGGCCAGCTCCAAGTTCCAAGATCTTCAACAGAATGTTGTACTGCAGAATTTACAGTCCAACAAGTCTCTTGAACTAACCTTGACTTTCACTCACTTAGGCTAATCTATAAATAGCAGAAGTATTTTAAACTGATTTTTAAGGTTGGCTTACAAAAAATGGGTTCTGTTACAGTATTTTCATCCATGTGTCATGAGACTTCTAAGAGTCAAGTTCAAAGTGAACAAGGTGATCAGCAGGAGGAACAACACCTGCAGTTAACCCTTAGTCGATACATGTACCTGCATATACACAAAGACACACACACACACACACACACACACACACACACACACACACACGCACGCACGCACGCGCGCGCACGCGCGCGCGCGCGCGCACACACATGTGCACAAGTACACAATGACAACTCTACCTTGCTTTTCAGGAGCTAGCAGCTGACCAAATGGTTTTCTACCACCCCAGCTGTAGCCTCCTTGAGTTATTAAAGGGTCCCAAAGATCCACAAGGAAAGAACTGAACACTTGTTTCTAAAGCATTTTTTATAATTTATACACATAATTTATATTATTTAATTATACATTTATAATTCATATGATAGAAACAATTTCTATTATATAACCCATTATGTATCTTCTTATTCATTTAGTGCACACAGACCCATTTAAGAATAAAGCCACTAAGTGGTGGCGAGGGGGGGTGGTAGAGCCAGGCGGATAACTGTGAGTTCGAGGTCAGCCTGGTCTACAGAGTGAGATCCAGGACAGGCTGACCAAAACTACACAGAGAAACCCTGTCTCGAAAAACAAACAAACAAACAAAGAATAAAGCCTAGGGGCTGAAGAGATGGTCAGCAGTTAAGAGTGCATCCTGCTCTTGCCAAGAACCTGAGTTCAGTTTCCAGCACCCCCATCAGGCGGCTTCCAATAACCTTAACTTCAGCTCCAGGGGATCTGACACCTGGTCTCCGAGCACACCTGCACTCATGTATGCATACCCCCACACAGCATACTCACATATACATAAATGCATGTAATTTAAAATTAAAAGTAAAAAAAAAAAGAAGAAAGTCTAAAGCAAGCTAACCTTTCAATAATATTCAAAATCAAAGACTAATTAGGGCCATCAAGACGGCTCAACAGGTAAAGACACTTGCTGAGCAAGCTTAGAAACCTAACTTAACCCTGGTAGAAGGAGAAAACCGATTCCACGATGCTGGCTGGCCTCTGGCCTCTACATGCCTGCACAAGTGTGCCCTCTACACATACACACACACACACACACACACACACACACACACACACACACATCATACACATACACATGCATGCATATCCGAAAAATTTAAAAACTAACATAAATACAAGAATGAAATAAGGTGGCCTTAATCCAAATATACAGAAAAGCTTGATTCTTCTAATCAGATGGGTTTCAGATTGAGATCGGTAAAAGAATATTAATATTACCCACATTTCATACTTTAGCCAAATGTAGATATTCTTCCAGATCCCATTTGTTGTTATTCCTGCTTCTTAATAATTTCCCATGGCTAACGTGTGCTGGGCATTGTGTTTAGATGTCTTACTTTTTTATTACCTTCAAGGTATTTACTGTTAATCTGTTTTATACAAGAAACGAACACTTATCAATAGTAACTTGCTAAATTCCAGAGCTTGGAACTGAAAACTCTAGGATCTAGCACAGTCTGGACTGAGAGTCCAAAACCCTACCCCACCGCAATTATTTGGTCTGTGTTTCTGGCTGCCTCACACCCCCTGGCTTTAGCATCATTTCAGGAGCAGCACCAGATTAGTGTGTGGGGCTCATTCAGCCTCAGTTCACATTCTCCAGCTCATGGCTGATCTTCCAGATACAGGATTAGCCAAGCAGAACATCACATTTTTTTGGCACCAGTGACCGAGTCAGATACAAACATATGGCCCAACTCAGGCTCTCAGAGACAAAATGACCCAATTCTAAGACTCAGAATCAATTCTTAGGACTTTGAACCTGGAGCGGCTACACTCATTTTTCCTTCCGTAATGGGGAACTCAAGGTGTTAAGCCCACATCAGGAGAGCAGCTCCCAGCTGAGAAACACTGGCCCAAGCCCAGGGACACCATCTGAGCACCAGGAGGAAG